GAGGCCGGTAGGCCGCTATATCTTCAGGAAGAGCGGAGAGCTCTTCCTCATTTGCGGTATGCAAGGATTGGCGACATGCTGCTGGAGCGCAGCGCTGGACTGAAGCAGCGCTGCTTGGAGGTGAAGGTCCGCTGGTGCTCAGCCTGGCTATGGCAAACACCCCAGCTTGAGGAGGAGGAAGAAGGGGGCATGGTAGGAGAGTGGTAGGGCACTTACCTGGCTATGGTGGACACCGTCTTCATCACCTTGTTGGGCGCTGCATCTGGAAGGCCCCAGTTGGGGTAGCGCTGCACCAGGGCAGCACGAGGCAGAGTCAGGCATAGCGGATCAAGTCAAGCAGCAGCATAGCTGCTTTGGGTTGTCTTCGGGACAACAGGGCAGCATCATAGCTGCCTCCCAGTAGTCCGCCATGGCCTATGCATGAGAGAAGAGGATGAAGGAGGGAAGCCATAGCCATGGTGGACTTGTTGTTGTTGTTGTTGTTGTTGTTGTTGTTGTGAGTTGAGTCAGCAGTAAGAGGGATCTTCGGATATTGATTCTTGTTCATCCATTCATTGTTATTATTATTATTGAGAGAAGAATAAGATTGGTGAAGAGGAGGAGGAGGAAGGTGGAGAGAGAAGGGGGAAGTCCTGTCGGAAAACTCTCGCGCTGACGCGTCCGCAAAACTCTCTTACGTTCTCGACTCTCAAGCCAGCTTCCGGAAAGCAGTGGCTAGGCAGAGTGTTTGAAGCGAGTCGGAAAGTCCTGTCGGGCTGACGATAGACTGGCCGGTTGCGCGCTGGATCGCCACGACGCAATGTGGGATCTGGGTGAACCATGTCCGGTTTACGACAGCGGGGTGACGATCGCAATGGTGGGAGTTAGCACGCGGATCGTCGGTGCGGATATTAGGATCGATGTTGAGTTGATTGGCCCGGGGCCATATTGGAATTAACGGTGAATGCGTCTTTGTTGCAGATTGTTATCTTTGGCGTGAGTGTACGACGGTGACGCCTAACTTTTCTCTTCCTGGATCGTGTCATCTTCTATTTTGGACTTTCTTTCCCTCGACTCTCTCTCTCTCTCTCTCTCTCTCTCTCTCTCTCTCTCTCTCTCTCTCTCTCT